TCAGGGGGAGCATCAGCCAAACAAGCAACAGTCAATCATAAACTTGTATGCTCCGCTTACACAGACTGCCCCATGAGGAATTCAACTAAGCACATTCAGTGCATTCGTTCAGAAGAATAGAAGCGCAGTAAACTTACTCCTTCACCGYTGATTGTCTCGTGAGAAAGAGTGTCTGCCCCCCATCAACAACGGGAATGTAGGGTGATCTCATCTACAAGTCCGGTAGATCCCTCCAACAGAGGGGATAATTGATTGTCTCCTCAGTGTAAGTGACTGGTCATACCTACAGCGGGCGCATCTAGTTCTCTCTTCAGCGCGAGCGGCCGGATCACACTCGCAGTAGGCCCTGCTTCAAGAGCTTGCATTCTYTTCAGGATACCCTYACACGTGCAGACGGATCGCCATGTACACCTGGCRCGGCCTATCCCCCTCTCAATGGGGATGGTTGCCATCATTTASTTGCRAACACTGCGATCTCCTGRCGCTCCTTCTTCCAATTTCCCTCTCCACTCATATCCACCCACCGATACACTCGAGCCCCGCCACTTTGCCYGGTCTCTGTGTACTCCAGGTACRCCCCTCCAGTCTGAATCCTCCCCTGCTGTCGCTGCTGGCCAACCTTTGTCTAGCCCGGGGCGCGACGSAGCGCACACCGAGCACATTTCCCCGTTCTCCCCTGCCCCCATCGGCCCGTTTCAGACCACCTTCAATGGGCTCGCATCCGTTTTCCGATCAACCCTCCCCCTTCTGCAGCTCGTTGACCCTGCCGCGTTCAGTCGCGATGTGGGCTGGGTACACCTGGCGCATCTCCCCCCTACCTCCTCCTGCAGTTTGGCTATATCCCCTCCGCCTCGGGAGGCCGTGGCACCTGTACCTTCCGAAAAGAGCATCAGGCTCGAACAGGCCCATCAGTCCTATGGGCCCCTGAAGGACCAGGGTACGATACCCAGAGAATGGCACCCTTGTCGTGCAGCGCGACCTCCGGAGCGCATCGAGGGCCAGGAACGTACCAAGTACCGACCCATAAATTCCAGAGTCTCCATACACCATCCCAGTACCCATAATTCCTGTATCTGAAATTCTAACTGCAGTGTGGCGTTCCAATGACCGCGGCCCAAAATAGGTGTCGCCACCACAGTTTACAGTCTTTGATCAGATGCCGTACTAGACTGTACCGGTTACCGCATTCAAATAATAGGATCAGTCCACCATATGCCGCCTTTATTGCCATGCTTATACCGAACCAGGAGACATAAAAGGGTAATTCTACTATGAACAGCTCTAATAAACTTATCCAACCTTTTCAATGCCGAGCAGCGGTGGACTAATCTGATGTCTACCAGTCACCGAATCCTGAAATTTAGGAACAACTTGCAGTATGTTGCCCTAGTGCCACGCTGGCACCGAACCATTCCAAGAAAGATTAATAGACACGGACCGTCATGAGTGTCACCCGCGACCGTACCAAAATATTCAAATCAGAGAACAGTATGCCGTATCAGTACCGCAGCCGAGCCAAGAATGTCGAATCTGTAGTCATGGCAACCTTGTATCACCATACCAGTGTCGAGCCTTGAGAACAAGCGAATCCGCGTTGGTATAGTGACCAGGCCCGTAGGCTGTTTCAAAGCATCATGCCCGTGGGTGATTTCCCAAAGCTCGTTTTCACCACCTGCTCGGACTGCTGTCTCTGTCACAATCTCGTGTACATGCATTCCCTACTTGCGTCTCTTTTTCCTRTGTTGTTTTAGATCAGCCCCTCTGTGTGCTGTGTCTTCATCCTTTGTCCTCCCTTGGTCGGTCTCCCAACCAGATATTTCTCTTCTCGGTTGTCAAGCAGTTGACCTGACTTTTTTCCACTCCACGTGCTCAGAGGTACGTCTTGAACTCGTGTGAGATCGCTGATCATGGCCTTTTGTTCATCTATTTATTTATTTTTCCCATATGTACACATTGCTCCTCAGTATGCCCTGCCCCGTGTGTTGTCTCATGCGCCCTGATGACTCAGTCCGAGCGCCCTCGATTAGCCACTGCGTGCTTTGATTGGGTAGAGGAGGAAATCCCCCTTTGTGCACAGATTGAGTTTCCCGTACGGTGATTGGATGGACGAGGAGTCCCGAACCCCGTGTGTAGTTTGGATCCTCGTGATCTCCCCGTGCGCTGATTTGCAGTCCTTTGTTTAATGTGCGTTGTTTATTGTGCGTTGTTTATTGTGCGCTGGTTCCCTATAGAATATCATTCGCTGACTGCCGCTCGCTGGTTTGTGCTGATTATTGTATGCTGAATACCGTATAATGATTACCGTCCGTTGATTGTCTTGCCCTGATTATCGTGTGATGATTACCGCACGCTGATYGTCTTACCCTGATTACYGTGTGATGCTTACTGTCTGCTGGTTGTCTTGCCCTGATTACCGTATRATGATTATTGTCCGCTGATCGTCTTACCCTGATTACCACACTGCATATGATCCCTCTATTGATCAGTTCCCTTTCTCTCTCTCTCACTCTCACACACAGTCTTCTCTCTCTCTCTCACAACGGACGCCTTGGTAACTCCTTCCCGTTCGCCCTGGTTCCCCTGGTCTTCCTCCACTGCCCCCGCGACCCGGTGGCCCGTCGTAACAGCAGACCGCTTGGTACGCCTGGCACATTGTCCCCCAATGTTTCTCCGTCCCCTCTCTTCCGCTCTCCGCTCGTTGACCTGCCTAGACGCACGCTGTATTCCGCTGTGTACACCTGGCATGCTTCCCCC